CTTGTCCACATCTTTGTTCACTCCCTCAAACAACACTAACAGGTTAGTGAGACAAGATCTTCTCTTAGAGAACCCATGCTAAGTCTTCCTCAATAGTTTTTGTTAATCTATGTGCCTATTAATTCTTTCCTTAATAATAGTTTCCACCAACTTACCCGGTATCAAAGTCAGACTGACTGGCCTGTAATTTCCCAGATCTCCTCTAGAACCCTTTTTAAAGATGGGAGTGATGTTAGCTACCTTCCAGTCCTCAGGAATGGAGGCAGATTTTAATGAAAGGTTACATATTTTTGTAAGGAGATCCACAAGTTCACATATGAGTTTTTTCAGAACTCTCGTATGTATGCCATCCGGGCCTGGTGATTTATCAGTTTTTAAGTTGTCTATCAGTTGTAGGACCTCCTCTCTCGTCACCTCAATCTGACTCAGGTCCCTCAACACCACTCCTGAAATCAGTGGTTCTGGAGTGCGCAAGCACCTCTCATCTTCCATAGTGAAGACAGAGGCAAAAAGTCCATTTCGCTTCTCAGCCATTTCCCTATCATCCTTCAGTACTCCTTTTACCCCTTGGTCATCCAAGGTCCCCACTGTCTCCCTGGCTGGTTTCCTACTTCTAATGTATTTGAAGAAAGTTTTATTGTTGGTCTTTATGTTTTTTGCTATATGCTCCTCATATTCCTTTTTTGCCTGCCTGATCACAGACTTGCATTTTATTTGCCACAGCCTGTGTTCCCTTTTATCAAGCTCACTGAGACTAGCTTTCCAATGCTTAAAGGAATCCTTCTTACCTTTTACAGCTTCCATTACTTTGTTAGCTAACAATGCAGGCTTTTTCCTATACCTATTTGTGCCTCTCCTAACCTGCAGTATATATTTTTTCTGAGCCTCTAGGATTGTAGTTTTAAATAGTCTCCAAGCTTCCCCAATGGTTTTGACCCTTTCTACAGGACGGAGGTCCTGTGCCTGAATCAGGGTGGCCCGAGGGTAGGGATCTCACTCCTGATCTTCAATGGGGCACAGTTGGTGCCAGCGCCGGAGGTTAGGGGTCTGGGAGTGCTCCTGGATGCCTCTTTAACAATGGAGGCCCAGGTAGCAGCCACTGCCAGGTTAGCCTTTTACCACCTTCGGCTGATCAGGCAGTTGGTTCCCTTCCTTGAATGCAATGATTTGGCAACAGTGATCCGTGCAATGGTAACCTCGAGATTAGACTACTGTAATGCTCTCTACATGGGGCTGCCCTTGTCCCAAATCTGGAAGCTGCAGCTAGTGTAAAATGCTGCAGCCAGGCTATTGATGGGCCTCTCTGTGCAGGAGTACATCCAGCCTGTGCTGAAAGCATAGCACTGGCTGCCAATAGCATACCTGATTCACTTCAAAGTGCTGTTTTTGACCTTTAAAGCCCTTTATGGTCAGGGTCCAGCATACCTGAAGGACCACCTTTCCCCATATGTTCCCCAGAGAGCACTGCGTTCAAGGGCCCAAAATCGGTTGGCCCTTCCAGGCCCCAAGGATATCAGGCTGGCGATAGCCAGGGCCAGGGCCTTCTCGGTGGCGGCTCCATACTGGTGGAATGAGCTCCTGGAGGAGATCAGGGCCCTGAGGGACCTTTCACAGTTCTGCAGGGCCTGTAAGATGGAGCTCTTCCATCAGGCCTTTGATTAGGAGCCGCCTTAAACACCAAGGAGTGACCCTGTGCCGTGGCTTTACTACCTTCAGCCTGGCTCACTGCATAAACCGGTCAATCAAACTGAGCTGTTGTGAGAATGCCATCAGGATTAACACCAAAGTAGTGGCATGGTCTAATCTAGGAATTTTGCTCTTGCACTTCAACTGACCTGGCACTTTAGGAAAGTGAATAATCGATTGTTTATGTATGTTTTATGTATGTTTTAACCAACGTTCCCTCTAAGCCGTGGAGTCTTGTGAGCAAAGATTCTACTTTGTGAGCTACTGGCATTAAAATTGTGAGCAAACCATTTGGCTACTGCATAATTAGTTTACTCTGGAGCCATCCTTCCTGAGCTGAGACAAAAATGTGTGAGTTGGAGCCAGCTCACACTAACTCAGCTTGGAGGGAACACTGGTTTTAACTGTATTTTTATATATGCATTTTATGTAAGCTGCCCTGAGCCCGCCCTGGCGGGGAGGGTGGGGGTATAAATTTAATAAATAAATAAAATACATAGCACATAGACTTTTAGACAAAGAGTAGAATCATGAATAAAATACAAATACTCAAGATCACAAATTGCCAGTCAGTCATGGTAGAGGGAAGAGAATGAGAAGGTGAAGAAGAGATGTTAGGGAGGGGTTGAGATGTCACCTTGCTCGTGCTATCCTGTGTACCTGCTGGTTCACTTTGAAGCAGATGTGGCTGTTTCTTCAGAAATTACTGTGCATCTTACTGCTATACTTATTACCAAGGTCTAGCCAGTGTTTAGGTAATAATGTACACGTTTTGGTCTAAGCCATTTCTCTCTTCGCTCCTCTAACCCCTGTCTTCATGATATCTCCCACAGGTTCTGTTGCTGTGGCTTTTTTATCATTCAATGGGCTTGAATCACTCCTAGGAAATTCTTCTTCCCTGCAGAATATGACTTTGCAGAATGGCAGAACTCTGGAAAACATTCATATGAACTCCAGGGTAGTAAGTGCTTCTACCAGCAGCTGGACAAGAAATCTTTCCATCCCTATCAACCTCACTTTTCGTCACCTTGAGGTACGTAACTCAAATCAGTTGAAGACATCTGGATAATGTCAACCATATTTTCCTATTCATCTTGTCATATATGTGTACTCATTTTGTGAATACATATTAAGATGTGACCGAGAACATGAATGCTAAGGAAAAGTTAGAGCTGACTAATGTCATAAACTGCACTATCTGACAGGGCTGAAGTTTAGCTCCCTGCCAGTCAGTATTGTAGCAGATGTGGGGAAGTAGGGAGGCCTACCTGAAACTAAATCCTATACGTATTTCATTTAGCTCATCTTACATTTGTTTATTTTAATGAGCAATGTCTAATCTGTATGCTAGAAGAAAATGTAGCTATTAGTTCTGTTGAACTCTGTTTAAAGGATCTGTATTCTGTCTTGGACCCAAGAAGGGCAGCGTACAGATCCCATAATGAATGAATCAGACATCTCCTTCCAACCATTCTCCCTATTTGCAGGACAAGGATCCCCAGAAAGAGGCTATTTGTGTCCATTTGAGCTCTGCAAGCAAGGATAGTGCCTGGACTCCCGAGGGCTGCTGGCATCTCCATTCTAACAACTCTCATTCCAAATGCAGTTGTCAGTATCTCTCTACGTATGCTGTGTTGATGGCTACCATTCCCAAGCAAGTATGTGGTTATTTGGGTTTGGAAATATCTCAGCCCCCCTCTTGTAGCAAACAATTAGAAAGGGAGCTTAAGCCAGTTTTAAGCCATTTATTGATGTTAACTTCAGGCTGAATATTTTATTTATTTATTTATTTATTTATTATTAGATTTATAGCCCGCCCCTCCCGCAAGCGGGCTCAGGGCAGTTCACAGACTGGGCACATATGCCAATAATTAAAACAGTTAAAAACAAGATAAAACAATCATTTATAATCATTTATCACAGTACAATAGATTTGTAACCTGTCCGGAGCCCAGGAAAGGCAGGGTACAAAACTGCTGTCCCCCTAGAACTCTCAGACAAAATATTGTATAGTTTCACTGAAGTTAGGGAAGCTGGAGTTGGAGACTGTATGTATGTATGTATGTATGTTTGTTTGTTTGTATGGTCTTGCCTTTCTCACTTGGACTCAAGGTGGATTACACAAAAGAGGAGGATCACTCACATCTATACCCTAGCATAGTGGTGTGATTACTGCATGTGTTGGTCACTAATGGTCAAATCTGGTTCTGTGGAATGTTGGCTTGAAAGCCTCTGGAATGTGGCACTTTGCACACGTACTCTTATAACTCGGAGATACTGTGTCCATCTGGTTATGGCTGCTAGCGTGGGGGTGGCACGGTAGGGGGAAAAGTGCTACTTTGGTAAGAAAAAAAAAGAGGTGTGATTCTGCAACTTCGGAAGAAGGAACTGGGGAAACTTTGGGAGTCCCACTGCAAGGCAAGAACAGGCTGGAGGGGGTGAGAAGGAATGGAAGGAATGAAAGAAGGATACTGTGTGGACATCTCTCCCCCCTTCCCCTCCAGCCCTCTCTTGCCATGACAGTTCAAGGATAAATTATTTCATGAACTTTCTGTTACATTCAATGTATTTTCAAAAGTTCTGCAAGATGCTCAGCATGTTATTTTCAGACACTGCAATGAATGGACTGAGACAGATGTAAACCAGCTGAGGATTTGTTCCTTCAACAAATGTATGCAGAATGAAAGGTAAAAGAGACTTGCTTGTCGCAAGGCAGTGTCTGAGAGCAGCTCTTCTGTGTTCCAGGGGGATCTGGTTCTCGTCTTCATCAGCTTCATTGGACTGATCATTTCAATCATCTGCCTCTTCCTATCCATTGTCACCTTTCTCTACTGCCACGCTGTCCAAAATAGCAGCACATTCATCCACCTACAACTGGGCCTGTGCCTCTTCTTTGCAGACATTCTCTTCTTAGTGGGAATAGACAAAACATACAACAAGGTACTCAGCACATCCTGAAACGATATGTGTGGCATAGTCTGCCCTGTAGAGTTTAGAACTGTGCTTTCCAGCTTTCTTTTTCTCTTTACATATGTTAGGGTTGCCAGCCCCCCGGTCCTGGCAGGGGTTTCCCTGTTTTTGCCAGCTCCTCCCTGCTGCCGGCCAGCTGGCCAGTAGGGAGAAACCCCGCCCACAAGTGCCCCCAAATGGAGTGTGATGATGTCACCCAGAAGTGATGTCATCACACTGCCAATGTTGCATGGCAATGCTCTAGGTTTTGGGCAAAACTCTATGGTGAATTTGGGCTCAATACCATAGAGTTTTGCCCCAACCTAGAACTTTGCTGTGCAACATTGGCAGTGTGTTGATGTCGCTTCCGGGTGACATCATCATGTTGTGGGCCATTTGCGTGCATGGCAGAAGATCCTGGGAAGGACCCGGGAGCCCCCCTGCTAGATCAAAGGTATGACCTGGCAACCCTAACATATGTATACACACAGTGTACAGAAACCATTACTGCCATAGGGCAGTACTGTCTCTGCCGGGGGGGGGGGTCACACACACTTCCCATGTAGAAGCTGTAGGGTTGCCAGACCCCTTGGTGGAGGTGGGGGTCCCCCACACACCAGGCCATACCCCCATCCACCAATCAGCTGGACAGTGGGGGAACTTACCAGGAGAAAGTAGAAGGCCAAGGCCTCATGGCTGGCGTTGCACAGGAAGTGACGTCAGCCATGCCAGTGACATCCGGGTGACACTCTGGTATTTGGGCAAAATCTCTATGGTAGAAGCTGGTTTTACCATAGAGCTTTTGCCCAAATACCATCATGTCATCCTGACATCGCTGGCATGATGGTGTCACTTTCTGTGTGATGCTGGCAACAAGACCTAGGCCTTTCACTTTCTCCTCGTGAGTCCCCCCCATCCCCCACTAGTTGCCAGGATGGACCTGGCAACCCTAAGAAGCTGCCATTAATAATATAATGTAATGTGGTTTGTCCTCTGAGGAAATATTAGGAATGACAAGATCCTTGATGTAATATAGAAGGGACCAGGTCATTGTACCTTCTCCTGATAGTGTTGATGGGGGGGGGGATCTTTTCACCAAGCCTAGTCTGATTTTATTCCATCTATATATCTAATAGCCAAGTTGCCCCCTTCGTGCAGATATCTAAATCCGCACATCGGGGGCACTTGGGGGGCAGGGAGATTTTCCTGCACACTTGGAGCAGTCTCCAGGTGTGCAGAAAAATCTAAAAAGTTGAAAAAAATATACAGGGGCTACTTAAATCCCCCAAAATGTAAAAGAGCATTCCCTGCGTATGCGCAGAGAACGCTCTGGCCATTGGGGGGGGGAGACTTGGTGGGCCCGGTGGCTGGGAGCCGCTCAGGTTGCGCTGCTGGAGCCTGGGGGGGAGGAGATCGGTGGGCCCGGCAGCTGGGAGCCACTCAGGCCATGCCGTCGGAGCCGG